ATCCTGGTAAATCTCCTCTGCACCCTCTCCAGTGCTATCACAGCCCTCCTATAATGTAGATTCCAGAACAGCACACAATGTTCTAGCTGCAGCCTATCCATCTGTCCTGATACTTTAAAGGACTGGTGTACATGATCACCAAGGTTCCTCTGATCCTTGCTGCTTCCCAGGGTCCTACCATTCATCATGTATTCCCTTGCTTTGTTTATCCTGCCCAAGTGCATCACTTCACATTTATCTGGATTGAATTCAATGTGCCAGTGATCAGCCTATCTGACGAGCACATCTATATCTTCTTACAGTCTAAGGCTATTGTCCTCACTGTTTATCATGCCACCAATTTTTAGACTGTCTGTGAACTTACAGATACATTCAAGTTTAAATCATTTACATAAACCACAAAACAGCAGGGGCCCCAACACTGACCCCTGTGGAACCCCACCGGACACAGACGTCCAATCAGAAAACACCTCTCAACCAAATGCCTCTGCTTCCTGCCACTCTGCCAAATTAGGATCCAATCTGCTAAATTTCCTTGGATTCTATGGGCTCTGATCTTTGCCAGACACCCACGTGGGACCTAATCAAAAGTCTTGTCGAAGTCCAAGTCGATTACGTCAAAAGCCCTCATCTACACACCTGGTCATCTCTTAGAAAAACTCAATCCAGTTGGTCAGACATGACCTCCCCTCAACAGAACTAATTGTTCCTGATTAATCCTTCCCCTGTATAAAATCCCCCTGCACATACGTACAGACAGACAAAACCAAAAACTGTGTTACAGCAGAGGAAAGACTGGAAAGGTTGTTCAATGGACTCCATAATTCACTACTTCGCCTCACCAGGACACTGCTCCTTGATCTTCTTTCTCCAGGTGCCTTTACTTGCTTGCATGGACATAGAAAGACTGGCTCACATTTGATGATTTATTTATTTAGGTACTGTCACTTGCATTTTACAGTGAATAATATAGTAAAATACTCTTATAAAATCTCCGACTTGTTCGTTAACAACCATAACTTATAGCAACTGATAAAGGAAAAATAGATTTCAATAGGCTTGAGGTGATTTTTACTGCAAAGAAAGGGACAGCTCCTTCCCTTCAGATATCTGATGCCTTCTCCCTCAAACGCTCATACTCAAGCAGCTGAACTACCCGGGAGCAATCACATTGTTATTGGCAGGCAGAAGCTGTCACCAATAACTGGTTACCTTATCACAAACCAATGGCCAAAGCGCCATTCAAACTCAATCTTTGAACATGGCTCATTTACAAATGGACTTCCTCCACTGCTTGAACAAACAGCTCTATTAACACACCTGACTCTTGCTTTTAAAAAAACTGCAGCAATTGTTCAACAATCCCTGGCTGCTATATCAGTCCTTTTCCCATTTTAGTCCACAATCAAAAATATAAGAATAAGAAGATATGTTCATTAAGTAGGCCATTCAGACGAGGAATTTCTTCACTCAGAGTGATGAATTCTTCAAATTCTAGAGCTATAGAAGCTCATTCAATATGTTAAAGACAACAGTTGGAAGCTTCCTGAAAACTAATATCATCTAGAGATATGGGAATAGTGCACAAAGTGGCAGAGGTTGATGATCATTCATGATTTAATTGAACGGTGCAGCAAACTTGGCAGGCTGAATGACCTACTCTTGTTACTATGTTCCTCCAAAAGCATTGCATGGTTAATTTGGAGACTAGACAAAAAAAGTTCAAAATGGAGTTCAACTGCCCATTATAAGCAGAATATTCAGAAACAAAAACAACAGGATGTTAGAAAATTGACAGTAGTTTTATTCAGTGAAACAACATGTCAAATGAATACAATCCATCAGTCTAAGAGAGGAAGACTGAAGGGTGGGATATTACAGAAACATAGCTAAGGGAAGGACAGGACTGGCAGCTTAATGTGCCAGGGTACAGGTACTTTAGGTCGGATAGAGGTGGGGAAAAGAGGGGAGGGAATTGCATTTTTGCTTAAGGCGAGTAACACAGCAGTAGTCAGAGATGAAATAGCTGAGGGATCATCCAGAGATGCTTTGTGGATGGAGCTAAGAAATAAGAAGGGAATGGTGACGTTATTGGGGGTCATATTAGAGGAACTGATATGTAGGGAGATTGCAGAGACTTGAAGGAAAAATAGGGTTGTCACAGTGGGGGATTTTAATTTTCCTAACATAGACTGGGACTGCCAGAGTGTTGAAGGCTTAGATGGGGTGGAATTTGTTAAATGTGTTCAGGAAAGTTTCCTCAAGCAGTATACAAAAGGTCCTATTTGGAAGGGGGCAAAACCCGACCTGTTGGGAAATAGGGCAGGACAGGTGACGGAGGTGACAACTGGGGAGCACTTTGGGACAAGCGACCATAGCTCTATTAATTTTAAAATAGTTATGGAGAAGGACAAAACTAGCCCACAGGTTCAAGTTCTAAATTGAGGCAAGGTGAATTTTGATGGAATTAAACAGGAGCTTGCTGGGATTGATTGGAGTAGTTTGTTTGCAGGCAAAGGGACCTCTGGCAAGTGGGAGCCCCTTTAAAAGCGTGCCAGCTAGAGTTCAAGGTCTATATGTTCTTGTGAGGGTGAAGTGCAAGGTTGGCAGGAGTAGGGAACCCTGGATAACAAGAGATATTGAGGATTTCACCCAGAAAAAAAGAGGAAGCATGGCTGAGGAACAGGCAGCTGGGATCAAGGGAATCCCTGGATGTATAAAGGGGATACAGGAGTTTACTGAAAAAGGAAATCAGGAGGGCGAAAAGAGTGCATGAGATAGCTTTGGCTGAGAAGATTGGGGTGAATCCAAAGATCCTTTAAGTATATTAAAGGAAAAAGAATAATGAGAGAGAGAATAGGACCTCTCAAAAACCAAAGAGGACATGTATGCGTGGAACCGCAGGAAATGGGCGAGGTCCTCAATGAATATTTCTCCTCTGTGTTTATCGTGGAGAAAGACATGACGACTTGGGAACTTGGGGATGTTAGTGGCGATATCGTGGGGACAGTCCATATCACAGCAGACGAGGTGTTGGAAGTATTAGAATATATGAAGGTGGAAAAATCTCCCGGTCCTGATCAGATATATCCAAAAACCCTGCAAGAGGCTAGGAAAGAAATTGCTGGGGCCCTAGCTGATATACTTGCATCATCATTAGCCACAGGTGAGGTCCTGGGAGACTGGGGGATAATGAATGTTGAGCCCTTATTCAAGAAGGGCTGCAAAGAAAAACCTGGGAATTGCAGACCGATAAACTTAACATCTGTGGGGGGTAAGTTATTTGAGAAGATGCTGAGGGACAAGATATACATGTATTTAGAAAGACAGGGTTTGATTAGGAGTAGTCAGCATGGCTTCATGTGTGGGAGATCATGCCTCACAAATTTGTAAGAGTTCTTTGATGAAGTGACCAGGAAGATTGATGAGGGCAGGGTGGTAGACGTGGTCTATACGGATTTCAGTAAGGCCTTTGATAAGATTCCACATGGTAAGCTGCTCTGGAAGGTTAGATTGCATGGAATCCAGGGAGAGTTGGCAAACTGAATACACAACTGGCTTGATGGTAGGAAGCAGAGGGTAATAGTGGACAGATGCCTGTCGGACTGGAGGCCTGTGACTAGTGGTGTGTCTCAGGGGTTGGTGCTGGGCCCATTGCTGTCTGTTATCTATATCAATGATTTGAATGAGAATGTACGAGGCATGATTTGCAAGTTTGCGGATGACACTAAAATAGGCAGTATTGTGGACAGTGAGGAAGATTATCAGAAATTGCAGCAGGATCTTGATCAGCTGGGGAAGTGAGCTGAGAAATGGCAACTGCAGTTTAATATAGATAAGTGTGTGGTTTTGCATTTTGGAAAGTCAAATCAAGGTAGGAGTTTCGTCGTGAATGGTAAGGTCTTAAGGAGTGCAGTGGAACAGAGGGACTTTGGAGTTCAGGTGCACGGCTCTCTGCAAGTCGAGTAGACAAGGCCAGTGAAGGAGGCTTTTGGCACGCTGGCCTTCATTAGTCAGGGCATTGAGTGTAAAAGTTGGGAAGTTATGTTGCAGTTGTACAGGACATTGGTGAGGCCGCACTTGGAATTATTGTGTTCAATTTTGGTCACCTTGTGAGAGAAAGGATGTTATTAAACTGGAAAGAGTGCAGAAGAAATTTACAAGGATGCTGCTAGGACTCAAGGGACTGAGTTATAGGGAGAGGTTGGATAAGCTATTACTTTTATCTTTACAGCATAGAAGACTTAGGGGGGTTCTTATAGAAGTGTATAAGATCATGAGAGGCGTGGATAGGATGAATGCACTGTCTTTTTCTCAGGGGTTGTGGAATCAAGGACTAGAGGGCATCTGTTTAAGCTAAGAGGGGAAAGAATACATGGGGACCTGAGGGGCAACTTTTTTTTTTAAACACAGAGGATGGTACACATATAGAATGAGCGGAAGTGGTTGAGGCGGGTACATTAACAACATTTAAAAGGCATTTGGATGAATACATCGATATGAAAGGTTTAGAAGAATATGGGCCAAGTGCAGGGAAACGGGATTAGCATGGTTGGACATTTTAGTCGGCATGGACCCATTTGGGCCGAAGGGCCTGTCTCCATGCCGTAGGACTCTATGACTCCGTGACTCTATAAATCTGAAGTAGTTGCAACCCGTTTAAAAACAATTTAAAAATTGCAAGCCTGAAGTATACCTTTACCCTTGCTGTGTTATAAGAAATGCACATGAAAGTTGAGATGCTTGAATTTCATTAATTAAGATATTTCTCACTAATGAGCTCCTGGACAATATTACATAGAGCTATTTCCGAATCACCTTGGTTATAAATAATCTTCAAATTATATGCCATGATCCACGTTCTTCGTTACAAGCCTATTATTACTACATGATTTATTTTGCTAGTGGTGCAGCAAGTCATTACCCAAGCCTCTATATTTTTCAGTTTAATTCAAAGTGATGTATTTCTTATTTGTGAGTTCAGTTTAAAGACAACATACCTTTAGCAATAAGACCATGTTTATCTGCCATTTTGGAGATATATGCTTCAGGAGACACACAGAAGTCACTAGAACCCTATCCGAGAGATGAAAGCATAAGGTTAGTAACATGGAATTACAGAATAATCAATAAAAACTGTGCAAAATTAGACTGGTTTGGGGCGAGTGCATGACTGTATTTATTGCCAATGTAGTCAGGTACTGAAACCACAGTCCAGAAGTCTGCAGCAACGTAGGAATGTAAAAATATAATGACCTGGCCACAAAATCAGCAGAAATTAACCATAAGATAAAAAACTTAGGAGTATGCCATTCGACCCGGAGAGCCTGCCCCAGCATTCAATACGATCAAGACTGATCTGACTATCCCATTTTCCTGCTTGCCTCACATAATTCTCGGCTCTCTTGTTGATCAAAAATCTGTCTAACTTTGCCGTAAATATATCTAATGACCAAACCTCTGCTGCTTGCTAGAGAAGTAAATTCCAAAGGCTAATAACCCTCTGAGAAAAGAAATATCTTTTTATTTCTGCCTTGCATTGGCAACTCCTTATTTTTAAACTGTGCCTCTACTTCTAGATTCCCCTAAGAGAGGAAATATCCTTTCAGTATCCACTCTGTCAAGGTTCCGCAGAATCTTACATGCTGATAAGATTACCTTCTACATTCCAATGAATCTAGGCCCCCGTCTTTCCTCATAAGACAATCCTTTCAACCCAGGAAGCAATCCAGCGAATCATTTCTAAACTGTTTCCAATGCAAGTATACCTATTTGTAAGTGAGGATCTGGCCAAAACTAAATAGTACTTAGATACACTCTCAACTGAATTTCGGAATTCAGCTGAAGCAAGACTTCCATACTTTTCTAGATCACTCTCCTTCCAGTATCGGCCAACATTCCATTTGCCTTGATTATCCCTTATTGTGCCTTCACAATTTTGTCATTCGTGTACCCAGGCCAACCTCAAGAGGGTGCTGCCAAAATACCATGAACACATCTCCTGCCCCATGAGAGGACTGAACACCCTGGACCACTGCTACACAATCAAAGATGTCTACTACTCCATCCCCCATTCAGACTTCCAAAAAACAGATCACAATGTTGTGGTCCTCCTCCCTGCTTACAAGTAGAAGCTGAAATGGGAGAATCCTTCATAGAAAGTAGTGCAATCCTTCTCTCAGACTGCCTGCAATTGGTGGACTGGACAGTATTCAAGAAATCAGCGGAAAGCCTAAATGTGTACTCCACGACCATCATGGACTATTTTAGCAAGTGCATGGAGGACTGCGTGCCAAAGTTAATCTGGGTGTTCCCCAACCGTAAACCTTAGATGAACCAGGAAATCCACTGCCTACTGAAGACCAGGCGTGCAGCATTCAAGTCAGACAACCCAAACCTATACAGAAAATCCAGATACAACATCCGCAAAGCCATCAGAGATGCCAAGAGGCAGTACTGGACCAAGTTAGAGGACCAAACCAACCATACAGATTCCTGTGGCAAGGCCTACACAACAATAAAAGGATACAAAATGAAGCAGAGCAAGATAGTGGACAAAAACCCAACTGTGTTAAACCCCTCCTGGCCCTGATGCCCTCAATGCTTTCTATGTTCGGTTCAAGCAGAATGCCAGTAGCAGCCCTGGACACACCTGTTCCCTCTGTCACTGCTGCAGACGTCAGTTCGGTCTTCTTGAGAGTCAACCCAAGGAAAGTGACGGGCTCTGACAGAGTTCCCAGCCATGCACTTCGATCCTGTATGGACCTGATGGAGGAGGTATTCATTGACATCTTCAGCCTCTCCCTCCTACAAGCCAAAGTCCCACCTGCTTCAAGAAGACCACCATCATCCTGGTACCAAAGATAGCAGATGAAACATGCCTTAATGACTATCGCCCAGTGGCTCTGACCTCCATAATCATGAAGTGCTTTGAGAGGCTGGTCATGGCCCTCATCAACTCTAGCCTCCTAGCCTACCTGGACCCCCTCCAACTTGCCTACTGATGTAACAGGTCCACAGTGGAAGCCACTGCCCTAGCCGTACATTCATCCCTGGAACATCTGGACGACAAGGAAACATACGTCAGACTCCTACTCATCGACTACTGCTCCACCTTCAACACCATAACGCCCTCCAGACTAATCTCAAAACTGAGACCTAGGTCTCGGCTCGGCTCGGCTCGGCAAATGGATCCTCAGCTTCCTGACCCACAGACTGCAATCAGTGAAGATAGACAACAGTACCTCCTCCACAATAGCCCTCAACACTGGAGCTCCCCAGGGATGCGTTCTCAGTCCCCATACCTGCACTCCCTATACCTCACAACTGTGTAGCCAAATTCCAAATGAATGCCATCCACAAGGTTGCTGATGACACCGCCATGGTAGGACAGATATCAAACAACGATGGGTCAGAATACAGGAAGGAGATAGAGGGTTTGGTGTCATGATGCAATGATAACAACCTCTCTCTCAATGTCAGGAAAACAACAGGGCTGATCATTGATTTCAGGAAGAAAGGAGGAGGACACGGCCCCATCTACATCAACAAAGTGGAGGTTGAGAGAGATGTTTCAAGTGGATTTGGTGAGGCTAAGTAAGTGAGGAATGACATGAGAGATGAAATAAAATGCTAAAGAATGTGAACTTTGGTAGAACAAACAGAAATATAGTATACGTCAATAGCAAGAGAATGAGAAATGGTCACATGCAAAGGGTTCAGATTCCTTTAAATCGCTGAACATTAAGATACAGGTTCAGCACACAATAAGGAAGGTAAATGGCATGTTGGTGTTTATTAAAACAAGATTTGAGGACAGTAGTAAAGCACTGAAAACAAAAAATGCTGGCGACCACAGCAGGTCAGGCAGCATCCATGTAGAGAAAGCAAGGTAATGTTTCAAGTCCAGATGACTCTTCATCAGAGCTGGTAAAGTGTAGAGGGGGTAGCATTTATGCAATAGGCTGGGGGAGGGAAAGAGGGGTGGAGAGTTCAGAAATAGGGGACATTTTAAAATTAGGTGCCGTCCTTTTAGGGCAGATTTGAGGGGTATTCTTTCTGTCCGTGTTGTACAACTTTGGAACTCTCTGTTTCAGAAGGTGATGAAGGCAAGTCTTTGAATTGTTTAAAAGATAGAGGCAACTGGGTTCTCCAAACAAGAATCTAAGGTTATTGTGGACAGTTGGGAACGAGATTTGGAACAGAAGCTGTTTAGCCATGATCTTATTAAATGTTGGAGCAGGTATATCTTCATTTGTTTATAAGAGAATACATTATTTCCACATATATCCTGTCAAGACCCCACAGGCACTTACATGCTTCAATCAAGTCACCTCTCACCCTTCTTAATTCTGGCAGATACAAGCCTAGCTAATCCAAACTTCCTCATAAGGCAACCCACCCATTCCAGGTAGAAGTCAAGTGTACCTTCTCTAAACTGCTTCCAATGCATTTACATCCATCTTTAAACAAAGTGACTAATACTCCACTCTACTCCATAGCAAATGCCCTGTATAACTGAAACATGGCCTTCCTAACCTATGTATCCAATTCCCCTCACAATGAGCAATAACATTTCATTTGCTTTCCTAATTACTTGCTGTACCAGCATTCTAACGATTTGTGATTCATGCACAATTTTTTATTCATTCAGAGGATGAGGGTGTCACTGGCTAGGCAGCATTTATTGTCCATCCCTAATTGCCCAGAGGGCAGCTAAGAGTCAACCACATTGCTGTGGGTCTGGAGTCACATGTAGGCCAGACCAGGTAAGGAATTTTCCTGAAGGGTCCAGACCTGAAACGTTAGCTTTCCTGCTCCACTGATGCTGTCTAACCTGCTGTGTCAATCCAGCTCTACACCTTCTTATCCCAGGTAAGGATGGCAGTTTTCTTCCCTAAAGGACATTAGTGAACCAGCTGGGTTTTTACGACAATCAACAATGGATTCATGGTCATCATTAGATTCTTAATCCCAGATATTTATTGAATTCAAATTCTACTATCTGCCATGGCAGGATTCGAACCCGGGTCCCCAGAACATTATCGAAGTCTCTGGATTAACGATCCAGCAATAATACCACTAGGCCGTCACCTCCCCACATAAGCATACCCAGATTTCTCTACATCTCAGGTCTGCAATTTCTTACTGCTAAAATGAACAATTTCACATTTTCCTACATTACACATCATTTGTCACTTCTTTGCCCACTCATTCAAACTATCTAATGTCCCAGTACAGTATCCTTATGTACTCTTCACAAACTACTTACTCACCTATCTGTGTCATCAACAAACGTAGCAAATGAATCTTTGATTCCTTAGTCCACGTCATTTAAATTGTTAAAGATTGAGGTTCCAACACTGATCTCTGCAGCACACACACATGAAGTCTCGCCAATCTGAAAAATGACCCATCCATGCTGTGACGAGGCTGACCCTTTAAAAAGGTTATTTTATCCTTGTCTTTTTTTGAAGACAGGTTGTGAAGACAGAGGTTCTAAAGAGTCTAGAGAGTAACAGTTTAACAATGGGAGTGGTGAGTTCTCCCAGTTCAGGTATTTTTTCTAGTTTTTTCAGCTGTAGTAGTCACAAGACGCCTTGACCAGCAGAAGCGTTGCAAGCTTCGGTAAAGGATTCTTCTGACTTTCTCTGAAATCCATTTCTGGATGTTGTTCCCTCCTGCTTGTAAGAATCTGTGCTTGAATTTACCTTTTCGCCAAGGGGTGTGTTTATGGGATGTTACTATATTGGAACAATTAATTAGTTAAGTTGCTGTATCGGGTCGGTTAGGTTTTCCAATAGTTAAGTTACTCTAAATTCCGCTTTCTTTGGTTCATGTTACAACTATAGTGTTTAAATAAATTTTGTTTTGCTTAATGTGAGTAGTTTGATCAGTTGCATCACACCTGGAACACCCACTTCACATCTGCCTTTAAAATAAGAAAAAGTTAGGGTCTAGGCCACCTTCTTAAAATAGTTTGAAGGGGTCTGGCTGGTGCATAACAATGCCCACTACATTTCTTGTTATGGAGTCACACAGCCATTGAGTTATATAGCACGCAAACAGACCTTTTG